CAAGTGTGAAATTAAAATAAAATATAAAATATTTTATTACAATATTACAAGCAGTGAATATCTAGTGATGGCTCAATTTATGCGATACACCATTTCCCAAGCAGTGAATCACATGGGGCTTGCAGTCTAACCGCAGCTCAATTTCTGCGATGTACCATTTCCCAGGCAGTGAATCACATCTAGTGTCGAAATTAAAATTAAATACTAAAATTATTTCATACATATTACAAGCAGTGAACATCAAGTGATGCCTCCGATTAATGAAGGTATACAGTTCACTCACCTGAAAACATATTGGGAAAGGACCTATAACTTGTACCCAGTCTAGCTGCAGCTAGCTAGCTAGCTTCTGTAGCTAGATTCTTCTTTAAAAAGAATAGTAGAAAAGTGGTGCAAAGTGGTGCAAAACGCAAAACTAGGTGCAAAGTGGTGCAAAAGTAGTGCAAAACACGAAATTAGGTGCAAAATAGTGGAAAAGTGGTTCAAAGTGGTGCAAAACGCGAAACTAGGTGCAAAGTGGTGCAAAAGTAGTGCAAAACACGAAATTAGGTGCAAAATAGTGGAAAAGTGGTTCAAAGTGGTGCAAAACGCAAAACTAGGTGCAAAGTGGTGCAAAAGTAGTGCAAAACACGAAATTAGGTGCAAAATAGTGGAAAAGTGGTTCAAAGTGGTGCAAAACGCGAAACTAGGTGCAAAGTGGTTGAAAAGTGGCGCAAACGCGAAACTAGGTGCAAAATAGTGGAAAAGTGGTGCAAAACGCGAAACTAGGTGCAAAGTAGTGGACAATGGTGCAAAACACTATCTACAACAAGCTTAGCCAATAGATGCACCTGACTCATCAAACTTTTGACCAACCACCAATACATGCAAATGAGTAAAAATATCATTAATGCTGTAGGGTGTATTGGGAGGGTGGAGGATTTCATGTTTGCTATTTCGTTATTTTCAGAATGCAGCCTGATATTTGTTGCTTTTTTGGTTGTTCAATTATGGCTACAATTTTTGTGGTGAGTGGAAGGTGTGTTCAATGGTTGTTGAGTCATTGTTTAGACACCCTGCAGCTTGAAATGGTATGGTCCAAATCAAAATTTGATATGGCGGTGTCTTCTAAAAACATGGCATCAACATTTTTTCTGTTTATTTATTACTGTTGTAGATCCTGAGAACTAGCCACTGAATATGATGTCGGGAATAAATGGTATCTTTATTAATTATTGTTGGCAATATTTCAATTTGAATTGGGAGCAAGCCGAGACACCAAAATCTAGTCATTATATTGTTATGCATGGGCGGCGGCATAAAATTTTTCATGAGGGTGTCTGACCAATGTGATTCACTAGCTGGAAAATTGTATAACGCAGAAAAGAAGTTGCGGCTAGACTGCAAGCCCCATGGGTAAAAGTTATAGATCCTGTTCCATTGTGTTGCGAGGTGAGTCAATTGTAATGTTTCATTAATCTTAGGCATCACTTGATGCTCACTTCTTGAAATAATAATGAATTAATTTTAATAATTTATTTTAATTTCAACACTAGATATGGGTTAGAAGCTGGAAAATGGTATATCGAGAAATGAAGCTGCAGCTAGACAGCAAGCCCCATGGGTACAATTTATAGGTCAGTGCGGAAATATTAAGCAATGATCATCTACTTCAACCCTACACATCAGATATGTCATTAACTTTCTTACCATTTATTGTTGACTCGGTAGTCACAAGAAATCAGACAAGCCGTTTTCTGAGACATAGGTAGATTATAATATCAATATGAATGCATACAATGTAACTAAGTTTAATCAATATTTTCACTTCAGAATTTGAGTGAGTGATTGATATATTATTTATTTCATTCAGAATTATGATATTTCAATGCCCAGCCTTCTATATGATGCAGATGCACGAAAATCTCTTCTGGGTCACGTAGACGTATATACTATACAACGCGAGAATGGTGTTTCTATATTGCAAGTACCGTTGGAACACAAACTGCAGCTACTGTATTGGGATCCTGGTAATATTGCCTGTTATGGAGTTAATGTGACGTAATTAATTAACTGAGAACTTGAATTTGTCATCAAAAATTACAAAATAATAATTCACTGTTATCAGATAAAATATCGCTTGGATTGATGTAATCATTAATTGTGTTGATTTCAAGGATGCCAGAATATATAATGATAGATCCGAAAGAATGGCATGATGGGAGTCACATGTGATCTAAGTTTCAATGAATACCTATACAACATAAATCCATATCATTAAAGGTACTTTACTTAATTTACAAATTTAAAGAAATTTATTGATTTTTTTACATTGGTTTTGGCAGTTGCTGTCGGAAGTGTTGTTGCTGCTGGTAGTGTTGTCTTTGTTGTTGCTCGTGTTGTTTAATTTCCATCACACATCTTCCTTTTTGATATTCAGGTTTGCGGGACATATACCTATGATGAACAACAACAAAGCAAACAGTGCGCCTATCGTGATGTCTCGTTTGACTGCGATGATACCAGAAAATGGAGGTACTATGATGTGTCCAAATACGGCTGTATATTCTGATAATGACAATATCGTGTTTCAGCCTACAGAAAATAATTCGACAACATATGGTGAATGCAACATGACGTCACACGGACTTCTAATGCTCATGCCTTGCTTAGATTGCTTTGGTACAGACAGCGTGGAGGTTACACCGTGACATGATTGATCCATTACATACAACAAACGTTTTGGAATTTCACGTGATCGAACGAAATGACAACCCGGAGTTATTCCTTGCCCTAAAGGGCAGCAATATCTTAAACACAAATGAGTATGACATATCTGTGACTGTAGAAGGACGTAATCCCAATAACACTGCTTACGAAGATTGTATAGCACAGTTTGGTGCTTATGATCCTGACACTAATGATTACCTCGACTATTACCTCGACGATTCGACTATCCTACACATGGGCAGCTGTTTATTGATGCCGAAATACGTGAGTTCAGCTTTGTGCCCCAAAACTGTTCATTATTTCTCATCGAAGAGGTTCCACACATACCAAAGACGTTCAAAAACAAAGGCACTGTTATCCCATACCCATGTGACCTGATGTTGCCTCATGAGATTGATCGTTATGCTTGGGTTGTAACTCGGATTAGATATATACCAAATGGGCATTACTATGGCCAGGATCAATTCCAGATTAATTCAGCAGATAGTGATGGTGCTGTGTCCAGAGTAGCAACAGCGTACATGTTCTAGAAAACCGTTGTGTGAATGGCGAAATATGCAAAGGACCCACAGAAGACCTAGACTGTTCATGTTCGCGGCGTAGTGAAAGATTTCATGACTATACCTGCTACTGCCCTCCTTGTTACACGGGGATTACTGTAGTAGTCTAACCCATGTGCTGACAACGTTACTTGTTATGACAAGGTTGTTGTACAATACTCTTAAACTACTATGTTCCTACATTAACAGATATTTAAGTTAAGTAATCCTTGATGTATTAACTTTCTAGGTATATGGATACATCTGTCAGTGTGACAATATGAATTGGCCATGTGCACCCCAAATGGAAAGTAGAAAACTTTATCTGATGGCTATGTTACTAAACATACTGTTATTGCTTCTGGTGTTGCTGAGTAAATACATTTATGGTAGGAAGAATAAATTCAAGAAACACATGAAAGTTGGGTGTGGTTGTTTTACAATTGTTTCGTGATTCGTATGACATTACAGTGAAAGGCAAAAAGCTGGGGATGTTATAGGCGTTTTATAAATACATATATTTTAATAAATCAAAATGTCTGGTAGAATTCAAAGTGAGCAATCCAGAAACGATATGGTGACATCATCGCGCGTTATTATTACTATTAATGAACTGGTTAATTCAAAATCTTCGTATCAGCACCCATTAAATAAGTAGACAGTCGCAGTTGCCACGTCATTTGAAGGTTTGTGTGCGCATTATGAACGTAGACAATGTGGAGCCCTCGAGCCAATCATATTAAATGTTTGAATTTGAAATAAAGTTGATGATGAGTATTTACAAATTGTTATAAATATGTTTCCAGACTAAGGTAGACAGCTTTCTGCCTTTCACTGTAATACATTTTATATAATCCAATGCAAGAAAATCCACACAACATAGCAATGACTGAACACCCGAAAAGCGGATTGAAGAAAACAAACAAAGTTTACGCTTTGCCTATGAAATCACATTTGGAACATTACAGAAAAGGGGAGACGGAAGTTGACAAGACTAATGACGAAAAGAACATAACCGTTATTGAGAAGGATGTGAACAAATCCGAAGCGATAAGGACCTTATTTATAACTTGTATTGATTTGACATGAAATGATAAAAAACCAACAGAAATACACGTTGAAAATTATCTGTTATGTAATCTTAGATCAATGAGCAGGTGCACAGTGACGTGGAACTCGAAGAAGATTTGAACAAAACAAGGAAACCATTCTGGATGACAGTACGAATAAATTGGAGCAGGTTAGAATTATGTTTATAAATAATATTGCTGCAGAAACTCCATGATGGTCATATCATAGTGTAAAGAAAAACACATTAATTCAATCTGACATATGTGAATTTTTTTTTAGTTTAGTGGGGATAAAATGTGATGTATGGCTGTAAGTATCGAGAAAATAAAAATATATGCTTGTCTGCATGTTTGGCGCCATTTTTCAGTAACATATTTATCAGTATTAAGCTGAGCAAAAAGACTTATTTAGTTTAAGAAATCGTGAATACTTCTAAAATCTTAGTTGAATAAAGCAGTGGATTCAATTTGTTTTTAATAAAATTGCCTTGTTTTGTAAACATCGTTCGTTTTGGTGATGATAAAGTTTGGGTACATATTTGTTGATACTGTGCGTTTTGGAAACGACCGAGGCGTTGGGTCGAGATGTCCAGCGTTGAATTATCTTGATTCGAGATGTCAAAAATGTTGAGTTGGGATTTGTCTCATAGCTCTTCTTGTATCGGTCTTGCGACTTTAACTTGTGATGCTATTTTAGTCATTTCTGGTTTGTGTAAACGACACAGAAGACTATGGTTCCTTCCATAGAATTGTGTAAAACAAGCATGCGACGCCAAGTGACATCGCAAATAAAAGTTGACCAAAGCAGACTATTTTCCCGCATCACATTTTTGTTAAGAATGAAATTTTTGACTATATTACTTTGATACATGGTTTGTAACAAGTTTATAACAATTTTAATTGCCATAGCAACAACCATATAAACTGCTATAGCTGTGAACATTGTGGTAACAATAACCATGGCAAATCTCTAATATATCATCATATAGAAAATTATCAATTTTGTTTCGAAGACGATACTCTTTAAAGACGTACAGTAGAGCTATTTAAACCATGAAGCCGTTTGTTTTAGTAATGGGTAGATCATTAAAAAAGGATGAATGGTAAGGTTAAATCGGACGCGAAAGTATATTATTCAGGTGCTAAATTCCGTTTTATTTAATCAATAGCTATATTTTGCAATCGTAATTTGGTATTAATCAGTAAGTGGGAGCATTCAAATGAAGGAGAGGGGAAGCTAAACTACATATGTCCTCTTGTTCCCCAATATGAATACATGGCGTTGTAACCTTCGGATGTATGATTATATTATGCACTCTGCTTGAATGCAAATGGAACATTTATGTAGTTAAGTAACAGTGCTATGCAATATGACCTTAGACCGATCGTAATATAACTCTACACACCTTTGCCAAATTTCATTATCTGAATTCCTGTGAGTCCAATGAGTCAACAACTTTCTCACATGAGTTGATTTGACTTGTCACAGTTTTGAACACATTGTATGCCAAATTAGAGTAGTTTAAAATAAAGAACATATCATAATTACAAATCTTGCACATTATCCATTATTATCATTTTTCATTTACGTTATATTAGATTTTATTATCGTCTACTCACATTCAGGTTTAACGTTTATACTCTCCTTGCAACCTCAGTGCAAAACTGTAGCACTTAAATATTCGTATTGTGAAATTGGCCTCATAGCCATTTTTACAAGCAAGATGCCGCACCAGACGAGACTTTATTTTTTTCACTTAATCAATTCTAGACACAAATTGAAACGAATTCTTATTTGTAAGATATTATACAATGACTCATACAATAAAGGCTTTATAAGCTATGTTATTACACATCAAATACACATGAAACATTTATAATGTCATTATTAAGAGTATATAGGTGACTTGAATACATATCAATCTTATATAAACATATGTATACGCCGTTTACCTAAAAGGTAACCGGTAATCTGGTTAATTAGCAGCAAAACAATTGTTTTCAAACAAAATGTACATACTGTATGTTCTACTTTGCAATAGCTTTTACCCGAGTAATTGCAGTAAAACACAATTAAAGCTTATTTTAAATTCTCAAACCCATGTTATCAACCCCTTTTTGTATCAATGGGGATTGTGGGTAAAAATCGTTAACATTGTCCAGTAGTCATATCCAACTTGGTGTAAATATGTTCGTAAATATTCTCTTCCTGAAAAAAATAATAATGATATATAATGATTGAAAAGTATTAAGAATGAAAGCAGCATTATATGGGGTCCACGTATAGATAGCCATATTGCAAAATGCAAGTACAAATGAGCATGATGATGGTTGCCAAAAATGATACTTTTTTGCAACAATTAACGTATACTTACGTACATATTTTAGGTATGTATATCAGTGGAAGGCATTTGTTTACTTTCTCTGTGTGTGTTTTTTTTAATTCAAAATAAAAAAATCACATGGCTATAATAATGTGATTTGTGTTGGTGTATACTACTAAATATTGGTTGAGCGGTTTGTGAGTGTGTACATTTTGTTATTTTCGGCTATACAACGTGGCAATCAAAGTATATGAATATTTTCTAATGATAAGAAACGTTGGTTCGACATACAATATTCACCATATTAAATTGAGCACTTCAAGTTTTCAGAAGAAATGTTGCCAGATAAGTGACTAGTCCAATTTATTATATTTTTTGCAGAAACAAATGCCCCAATGTGCAGACCACTCTCGAGTTACGAATGAGAAAGGGTGTCTTCAAGCTCATTTTTACCAGGTTCAAGAAAAAAAATCGTGAAGCAATGTAGTAATACCAAGCATTCCACTTGAATGTAAATTTAAGCTTGTTAAAATTATAAAAAAAAATCATAATTAGTTAAAATTCATAATTTACGGAAAATTATTTTCAGGGGATGTTTACCTCATTGTTTACCTCCTTTACATTTGATACAGGTGCAGTTGCTGCAATATCTGAAATGAACAATATTCAGAGTTAGAAAGCTTTAAATACATATAATACAATTCTTTAACTAACAAATGTCTCTAAAGTTATTTTACTTTGAATTGCGTCACATCTTTATCATATCTGGTCATCTTAAATCATCTTAACTTAATTTACTGGCGAAATGTATCCGGTTCATTCTGAGAAGAAAATCATGATTTATAAAAATGCATCATGTAAGCACCTTGGTTACTTGAACAGTTGAATGCCATTTCCATGTATATATTTTGTGAGTGTATATCAGTCTGGTCATCAAATTTAATCCTTTTATTTCTACATAAATATAATGCAACAAATACATAACGTTAATATATTGACATTAAAAACACTAAATAGCAAGATATAGTAGTGTTTTCGCTGGCGATAT